GCACAGATTGTGACAATGTTCAACATGATGGCGGTATAAATTGAAAAACTGTTGAAGATACTGTTGGCAATAAGAGTCAAACGAAGAACTTCAAAGTCGGCGTACGAAGGAAAATACTCTGCCTGGTTACAAAACGATTCGTTCATGGTAACAACTCCCGTATCTTGAATAGAAGAATGGAGCTAAAGAAAAACAAATTTGTGGCGATTCCGCCCCAGTATCACTTCTGTTTTAGTATCAGTGGCCACCCTTGTTTCATCTCCAGACAACTCTTTTCCTTCTAACCGCGATGACCTGCAGCAACGAAATTAAGAAACTTTCAAATAAAACTCAAACGTTTTTTTCCGAAAATCATACTCATAATGTGTGTTGACACAACAACATCTGCTTTTCAAACAGTGTGAAAGCTATATTCAAAATTGACAGGTAAGTTAACGCATTCACACGTTTTGCATGGTGGCAAACAAAAGAAGAATCAGTTGACCAAAAGCTGATCGTGGAAGTTAGAAATTTAAAGGAAATTTATGGGTTCAAGCTTTAGTACACAGGATTAAGCGCATCCCGAGTTCAGAGCAAAGTTTCCCAGTTTTATTGTCACGAAAAGAACTTTTATCGTGGCTTTAAGAGAATAAAAGCCCTGCGGTTATGGATGTTAAACTTCATTTTCAAATTAGAAAATGGCCAATGAAAGATGCAAAATTACCATAACTAAACTTCAAATTATTTGTTGGCTGTCGAAAAAGTTTTGAATGATCATTTTCTTCGAACTCTTAGATATCACTCAACGCCTCACCATTGTAAAATTCGAGTAAAAGTCATGATTACCCAATTATTTCTGCCTTCAAAAGAACCCAAAATGAATGCAAAACACTCCTGCGAATCTCGGCCGGAAACACCTGCGGATATTTGTGGAATGATTACCGTAACTAGCTTGCATGAGCTCCAACGGCACAAACTTTCGCTTGAGCCTCACGGGAAAAACGATGATAATTTTTATACAAGTGTACTCACCACGATGACAACTCGAAACCTTTCCCATAATATTTAACAATTATTTTAGGAGGACGCGCCGTATTTGAGTCGGTTATAATAATATCAAGTTCGACGAGCCTGATCAGTTTACTTGTTTACGTAAAATCGCACACATACCTTGAACTCGCATTTTCTATTCTTTCGTTAGTTGTAAGCTCTGGGCAAACCTATTTTTTCTCAATTTAAAGGAAGCATTCATTCACGTGATGAAGAGCTTTGTAAAATCACTAGCACTAAGGAAATGTTTATGTAACAAGAGACCTAACTGCGGTTTCGGTCCAAGAAATGTCCCTCAGTATGACAGTGATAGCGTGTCGGATGCGTCATCTTCCAACAGTAAATTAAAAGGTTCAGAGATGAATTAAAAAATACCATAGTTACTGAGAAAAGATGAAAGCTTTTTAAAGCAACAATGGAGCCACTGATTCTAACTGCAACTTTGCAAATAACGTAAGGCAAACAACAAGTTAAAAAAACGAGAAATTTGCTATATCACTCGACTGAGTGACTTCTTGAACTTGCACGGAATGAATCTGACTCTTTTGCCGTTGTACCGTGGTGTATATTCTGATATACACCACAACTGTGAGACTGAAATAAATAGCTAAGATAAGTAGAAGAATAACTTTCTGAGTAGACATAGAAAACCACACTTTTGTTACCGAAACAGAAATACAAAAAATCCATTTTGATATCACCATAGCAACAACGCGCTTTTGAGTCACAGGTTCCTGGGGCCCGTTTCTCGAAAGTCCCGGTAACTTAACGGGCCCGAAACCATCTTTTAAAATAAAAACTTAAAAGATGGGAAAGCAGGTTATGACATCCAAACCAGTCTTTTTTGTTTCTTTAGCTGATAGTTTTATTGTATCATTTTCAAAACTTTTGAAATTCCCATCTTGAATGAAAACAGAACAGCTTTACGGGCCCGTTAAGTTAGCGGGACTTTCGAGAAACGGGCCCCTGGACTTTCGAGAAACAGGCCCCAGGTCAGGTTTCTTGATGGTTTTCTATGGGATTATGCATGCGCGGCCATGTGATAATAGGCTGTGTAATGTTTCAACATCAATCCTGCCCGTAAGAAACCTAAACTACCATCCCAAATTATCTCAACTACCAATATGTCCACTCCTTCATTAGAGTCAGAACATCTCCATCTTGAATGGCTCTGACAATTAACATAAAGCATCTTTTAAGTGGCCACTTTAAATCCCTTCGGTTTTCATTCAACTAATTTATTCTTGCGTTTTTCACGTTACCATGTTCCCGCCAAAAGCGTGGATCCATTTTCTGTCCATACACCTCACACAGGCAACAATCACTCTATTCGCTAATGCTAATGCTCAAAACGTCAGCTTTTTAAACTCCTAATGGCGGCAAATTTACATTATTAACTAAGCTGATAAAATCAAATTATCCAACTATCGGTGTGTATTTGTTTTGTTATTGCAGGACCGCCGAAAATAATAGCAGTTTACAAGTTTAACCAAGAAAGAGCATCTATTCTTAAAATGAGGTCATAGGAAAAAATTAACATTTTAAAGATTCTAAAGAAAACGCCGCATTAAATAAAAGACTTTGTTATCCTCGAAAAAACCTTAGTCCTTGTTAGTCTCTCTTATTATTTCGACAACGTTGACAGTAATGATAAAATTTCCTTTAAATGAAACTAAAACACAGATTCCAAATAACGATCTCAAATAGTTTAGATTGAGAAGCAAAGACTTGTGCCATTGACTCTTTATTATGAGAGGAGTCTGTGGTCTGTGGGGGAAGGAGGAGAGAGGAGGGGAGGGGAGAAGAGGAGAGGAGGGGAGGGGAACGGAGAGGAGGAGAGGGGAGGGGAGAAGGGGAGAGGAGGGAGGGGAATGGGGAGGAGAAGAGGGGAGGGGAGAGGAGGAGAGGGAAGGGGAGGGGAGGGTAGGGGAAGAGAGGATAATACAGAACGAAGGTAAAACAGGTTATACACACACGAGTTTTCTGATCCATTGTGTGCAATGATTCTATTTGGTACTCGTCTCCTATTTATTGATCGGATCAGAAATGAGTAACCTCTGTTACGTTTGTAATACCAATTATATTTTAGAAATCAAAAAATATTTTATTGCACAGAAGACTGCAGAGAAGTTTAGCCATTTTCGGAATTAACAAAAGCTAAAAAAGGGCAGAATAAATTTAAGAAAAAAATTAAAATAAAAAAAAGTCACTGAACAGCTTTTCCCTATTCAAAAGCAGGACTGCTTTGTTGTGTTTTTTGTAAGAAACAAGGCGGAAATCTATTTTAAGATAAAAAAGATGAGAGACCACCCTGGCTTACCGGAAAACCCGCACCTTGTTACAGCTGAGAATGTTCAGAAACAGCTGCCTAAAGTAAAAATAGCTAGTTTAAAACTGAAAGGTTTCCAAAGCTGGACGATAACGCTCCAGCACAATTTATTCTATGGCAAGGAAACCTACTCGACACAAAATAAATTTTGTATTATAAAGTTGTGAAGATGCGTCTTATCTCAAACCTTAACCTATTCCTTAGCCCTGGTGTGTGGAAATTTCCCATTAAGAAAAAAAATAAACAAAGCAGCATCGCCGGAAATGGAACTATTGTAGTTTACAATCTTTTTCAAGGACATGAAAGACAAAGAGAAAAGTTGTTTCCATCGTAAAGAAGAAATTTGTTATTCAACTCTGAAAAAATTTTCATTTGATTTAATTCAGTGTATTTGTCTTGTTACTTGTATTTTATTCTGAATGGATCATGTGAAACCTCCAAGTTGTTCACCTCAACGAAATGCACGAATTTCAGTACCAGGTCATACTTGATAAATTGTGGGGCTGACCTCTGTTTATACATACGGATTTGAGTATTTCTATTTGGCTGAGAAAGAGACTGTAACTAATTAAAAATTTCGCGCGTGTAAGGCATTGCCCAAATGGCAAGTTATTCAGAGTGTCTTTTTTTTTTTTTTTTCACATTTTCTCCAAGTTGATTTTAAGTATTTTTCAATTTCTTTTTCTGTTTTATTCTTGGCAAGTATTTTTACCATGTCACCAACCCATGCAACCGTGCCAGATGATTCTCCTCCAAGAGGGATTAGCATCAGCCAGGGTGAGAACAGAAAAGAGCCGTGAAAAAATTGAAAGTTAGCGCTTCCGTTTAATATTTTTGACGATTGCACAATGATATAAGCTTAAGGCCTGGAAATACAACTTTTTAGGCCGAGGTCTCGTGCTGCCTCTTCAAGACCACCGCCCTAAAACAACCCTGGAAAACTGTGATCTAACATCTCCAAAAATAAAAAAATAAAAAATACTGTAATTTCTGCCTGTTTCATTTATAACCTTATTGTAACCTTTTTAATCACTGTGTAAAGCATGCTGATCGAAACATGACCTTGTTGCTTTGTTTCCTTTTTTATTCATTGCAACACTATTACGAAAAAAAAAAAAAAAAAAAGAAGAGAGGTGTCGTATGGCTGATTACGTTAAACGCTATACAAACGCTTAATTCTCGCTAGAAAATGGAAGACAATTGCTTGCAATGATATACTTTTTCATGGAATAATGGAATAATGGAATAATGGAATAACTCCGTCTAAGATTTTAGATATCTAAGTACAAAAGAGCGCCTTACTCTGCATGTGTCTTGGGTACTCGTATTGCATGGTAACATCTTGGTTTCCGATATCCACTTTATAGTCAGGCCATAACCTTGCATTCCTCACCTTGGAACAAACAAAATTAAAATAAACACTTGCTTAAAAAAAAAGAGAGATACTTCACTTACAATGTTATTTTACGATGAGAGTGAAGATATTTTCAAAACCCCTTGGACAAAAACCAGATGGCGCTAGAAAATATATTTCTAAAATTTCCCCACCTAAAACTCATCTTTTAGCCCATATCAAGTCAGAAAAGTATTTCGCGAGGTTACAACCTATAATTGAAATTGTCCATTTTCACTTCCTGTTTTGAGCGACAGGCGCTTGTGAAAGGGGCCTCATGTCCTTCTGGTTTCTTCACCTTGGCGCGTTTTGAAACACAGCCAGCGGTGTATAGAACCAAAAATCAAACAATCCGGATTCAGTCCTTATCTCGCTTTAGTCAGTCGTATCTCAAGAGGTCTCATTGATTTAGGACCCTGGACTATTTAAACCCAAAATATGTTGTGTACAGAAACACGATCTACAATAATTCCGACTTAAATCAGGTATCCACCTTTGAAGGCAGTGTCAGATTCTGCCGGAGACCAGCGACCTGAACAACAGGCCAAGAAACTGCCGCGAATCTTTAAACGGCAGAATATCTGTGCACTATGGGTAAGAAGTAGACATGATATCTAAATATTGTTTAAGTGGTTAACTCAACGTTTTAGATCATCACGAGTTTGTGTGCTCTTGTCAAATATCTTTGCTCAACTGAAAATGATTTGATCATCGCTACAATTCGCCAGTTGGAGAATTCTCTTGCAAGAAATCTTCAATATGATAGAGCGTCATTTCCCAGTTTTATCTTTTAGATCGTGTAGAGCAAGATGTTAGGCCCTTAGGTTACATTATGAGTCAGTGATATCTGAATTGAAGCCAATTGAAGCGAACGGTGCGCCTTTCATTGTATTTTTAATCTCTAGAGATCGATAATGGTTTGACAATTTAGCACTGCTTTCGGCAGTTAAATCTATGGCAGGGTATGAGGGGAAAAAAGGGTTCCATAATAAAAAATGTTCAACATATCCTCAATATTGTTGAAAAAAAAAAAACTCTGTGTTTCTGTCTTTAGGCAAAGAGAACACAACAATTCCTTTTTAATCCAATTTTGAAACCGTTACCCAAAAAATCACCACTCTATTCGTTCTAGTAAGAATTTTGCCTGATTTGTCGCAGTTATGTTCGATATAAAAAGCTGGAAAAAAAATCTACCATGATTAATAGTTTACGAGCACCTCTAAACTGAAAAACAGAGCGGATGTATCGGTCAAAAGGGGCGCAGATATGCATGTATATCAATTTCCTTTTTGACCTGTCTGAGGCATCAATCATTGCAGTAGAATTTCCGTAGTAAACTTCTCGCACTGTTGCAATGATTAGCTAAAAGTAGGGAAAATACTGGCAAGGTTGTCTACTCTTAGATATTCTTAACATCTAATTGACTGCTTATTGAAAGATCGGCGGATGGCATCGTGTCAGATTAAGTCATTAATCGATGAGTTAAAACCGTTTGTCATTGATATTGCTGTTATTAATGTGTTTTGCCGAGGCACTCGGCCTCAAAGAAAAAAAATGAGCGTAAATATGTAATGATACGAAACCAAGCCAAGTTTTTCATCTTATACGAAGAATAAAGAAACTGGTTTAACCAGTTTCTCGAGACACAAATGTCTTCACTGAGTAGAAACAAGATACTTATGCAAAGGGAATTCTTGCCTCAACATAAATAAAGCGTCGATCAAGCTACATCCGAACTTGCAAATTTCCTTTTACTGACCGACTGTCTACAAAATGCACTTTTGGGTGGGAAGTAAACTTAGGGTTGAAAGCTAACTCTAAACATATTATTCTTGATTTTACGCCAATGCTGATAAGATTTGAGTCATACAATGCTTTGGGGAATTCAGTGTCTTATATTAGGAAACCAACTCCCCATAGTTTTCATGCTAAAAGTATCAGCTTTCTAACAGGTGTTCATCGCCTTCCAAGGGCCTCTCTCAAACCTAATATCTGTTCGGCGACTTTCATAATTGCGCTAAAGGCCACTAGCGTTTTCATTAATTTAACTGCCGTACAAAGATAGCTGTCTGCCATTCAGCAGTTTTTACTGTTTGCATTTGCTTTCGATTGTCCATATGAGAATATCCTTCCTGTTGCGACCGTCTTGTAAACTTGAAGGCAAATTTTACTCACGGTTGAGAGGACAGTACCTCTTCAAGTATCCTGACCATCTTTTAGCACGTAAACTACAAAAACGTAGCCTGTGTGCAGCCCCACTGATCACTTAGCGAAGGATCAGTGGGGCTTCACGCAGGCCACAAAAACGAAGATGTAATTAGTACATGTAACAAATGCTCTCGACTTGGGCGAGTGAGAAGCACAAAACGCATGAAGATTGAAAGGAAAACTTCGTGGTGAAAATTTATTTTATCTTATTTAGATCACAATAAAAATGACGACAAGAAAATTCATAAAGTAGTGGCCAAGGAAGTGAAAATCTGTGCGCAATGCGGCAAAACAATCGAGGAGAAGTTTTTGCTGCGAGCTTTGGACCAGTTTTGGCACGAACAGTGTTTGAAGTGTTCCTACTGCAACATAAAGCTGGCGGACTTGGGTTTCAAGTTTTACCTCAAAGAAGACTTAACACTTTGTAAACGAGACTACATCAGGTAAAGCATGGGTATTCTGAGTACAGAAAAAATAATCTGTGTATCCATCCATTTGATCGTATAAGAACAAATATATCACGAATCTTAAGTACGTGAGAATCAAGATTTTCCCAGATTTCAAAGTTGTTCAGTTCTTCTGTTGGAAATTTACGGCTCAGAAGACTGAGAATAAGATATAACGTTTTCTTTGTGATCTAAAAAATTCCATTGCTGCGAAATAATGATGAAGATAGAAAAACATCAGGATTAGTTCGTAGAATTTTCAGATTTTCGCTTTATAGTTTTAATTCCTTTGGATGGTCATAACCTTGACCCAGATCAGTTACTCCGGTAATTCCGCAGAATTGAATTTCCTGATCAACCCGTTATAAACCTTTCTGAATGAAAACTGGCTAACAGCCAAATCAATCAGTTTATAAATTAAGACCAAAAACGGCAACGTATTACAAAACCAGTTAAGAACTTAAAGAATGTTCCATTTTTCTATTTATATTTATATAACAAGTATGGTACGCATTACTAAACGCTTTTGACCATTTTTTTAAGCCGGCTGTAAAGATTCTTCCATGATGAATGCTGAGTGAAAATTCTTTAGTTCTCAAATGTATTGTTATGTCTGGTTGAGTACCCACTACACGCTGTGCTCCATCACAAAGAGCTGCACTATCCAATTCTGCATGATTTCATTGATCGACCGCCTAAAGTTACTAATAACTGTTATTTCCTAAATGAGGCACCAAGCTAAACTTTGTTTCGTGCAAAAAGTTTGAACCTTGTTGGTGATTGGCCAGTAAGTGAGTCTTTAACCGTAAATTCCCACAGTTTATTAGCCGTTAGAAGTACCGGAAATTTTCAAGCAAGCACCCGCAGCTTTTTTTGGTAGAGTTAATTTGCTGTATTTTGTTTCTCTCTTTTTGATATATATATTTTTTATAAAATAAATGATAGGAATTTTTCAGGGGAGAGTTTTAGTCGAGAGATTCTTAGTACATCATATCTGGTATGTGTTCTATTTATTTTTTTGAAGGTAAAAATTGCAAATAGACTGTCTTGTGAGTATCGCGAGGAGTGGTATGTCAGTCCCTCTTCTTGAAACGCAGACACAGCTTATTAGCAACTACAGTAATTAATCAACGACCTTAACAGGATGAACAGTTTGTGAGTGTTCTTATTCAGATCAAGCTGGGAGTGAGAGCTTAACTCATATTTTTCCTTATTCACTGACACTAATGAATTCAAAAGATGCTTTAGAACGCTGATATCAATTGTGCATTCATGTTTCATTCCGCAGCTATAAAAAAGTTCGTTAACTCATTTCTTCAGGCTTAAATGTCCACTTTCAAGCCTAAGCCTTCATGAGTAAATTATATCCCTGCTACCATTCGACCTTCTGTCACCCTCTATTACAAATTAAATTTACCATAAGCGGCTTTTGTCTGGGAGCATAAATCTGTCTTCAGTTTTACACGCAGGCATCGCAAACAACATAATCGGATCCAAACGATTATTCCACTAAGCCCGCGTGAATTGATCCAAGACAGCCACCTCTTGCCTGTGACCAGCTGAGGACCGTTGCCAGTGTATTTATAAGACATAACATGTTTCCTTTTTATTCTTTTTAAGCGAAACTATTCTCGTGGGGAAAGTTTTCTCACCTTACTCTTTATAACACCCCAACCCCGGTACATCAATCAACAGATTGGTTCCTTTTCAAAGTAAGAATTCTTACCCAAAATAACGTAACAGAACTAGAAAATTGTGACTCATATCTTAACGATTTAAAGGAAAAGATTTAATTTTTTTTTTTTTGATCGATGTTTATGTGATGCGACGCATAACTTCCATAAAAATGAAACTGAGTAAAAGCAGTATGGGTTATCAATAACCGGCTGTGGTAAATTGCAAGAAGTTTTCGCCAGATTTTAAAAATAACTTCGAGATTACAACCACACACGGCGTTTCTCAATGGCGCTGCGCGTTTGTGACGTTACGAAATTTTGACTCCCTAGAGCGATTAGGACAAACAAACAGGCTTCTCGAGTAAATGAATGTGGGCGATGATGCGCCCATCTCTAGTTCAAACGCCTCTAAAGCTCGTATTTTAAATCAAAACGACGGTGTTCCTGGCTCAAAGTTCGAGCAAGACCAAGAGAACTATACTAACACACAATTGAAGCGTTGGCTTGAAATTGAGCGGAAAATGAGCAGACCTCATCGCTCGTGTTCATAACTGCCTCAAGTCGGGAAAACATTATGTAGTTGATTCAAGTATAGATGATGGGAAATGGCTTCAGGCGAGGATACTAAAGGAAAGTAAAGTCGATCGCGTGAAACTTAAGGATCTAACAGTTCAATGCCTATTCAAAGTTTGGCCCTCACGAGTATGTCTTTGAGCGATCGCCCTAATTTTTAAGACACGAGTGGCGAATTTTTGTATAGTTCACTCAGTACTGGTTGTTTCTATTAAATGCCAGTGTCTCATGAGAATTTGCTTTAGGTTTGGCACTGATGGTTGGTATTGTGTAATAAAAGGCAAGATTCGTTGGTTCGTCTTCGGTTTCTGTTGAAGAGCTAGTTTCCTGTTTTTGAAATTCACCTCTGAAAGGGTTGTGTTAATGAGGGCCTCTGGGTAGCCTCTCTTTCGCAAATGCGCTTTGAAATTTGCAATTTTCTCTTCGAATATTGTCTGAGAGGAGTTTGTTCTGAGAAGTCTAAGGGCCTCTCCTTTTATTAAGCCTTTCTTAACTCCTTGTGGGTGACAGGAACTATAGTGTGTATACTGAAATGTCTCAGTTTGTTTAAAATGAGTACGCACATCAAGGATTGCGTCCTTTTCGAATCGTTCGCCTTTATAGTTNACCCAACAGCAATGCCTAGTTGCAACCATTTTGGAAAGTTAGAGCATTTTTTGAGCGAAAATAGTCTTGCTTCTGACACGTTTCACATACAAGTCCTTGTAAAGACTCCGAGTGTTTGTCCTAAACCAGCGGGGGGTCCAAAGATGGCATATCTATTTTTAGACCTGGCGCGCAGCGCTATTGATTGACCTTGGCACGTAGATATATTTGAACGTATAATGAGTTTTATTTATCTCTTCCTTTATTTGCGTTAAACTTGTCACGTCGCGGTGTTTAGGTAACCTGTAAGCTCCTGCAGACAAGGCCTTTTTTTTTTTTTTTTGCAGAAAGTCTGGTGATAACCTTCTTTAGCGCTGTTACATAATGATTTAATTTGACTGGTTTTAAAAATTTTTACTGCTGCTTTGGTGATACTTCCTAGCGACTGATGAACTTCATTCAGATGTCGGATACAAATTTAACAAATCCACAGTGGTTTGGCGTGGTCTGTACTCTTATCGACAGCGATAGTCGTCATTGCAGCGGTCAAAACGTTGTGGCCTCCGGAGGCTCGGCCGAGTGAGTTCGCAACAAATTTTGACCACTGAGATGACGAATATCGTTGCCAGTAAGAGTACAGACCACGCTAAACATCCATCGATTTGTTTTTTTTTTGTTTTTACCACAATATCGAAGTCAAATAAAACGATTCTTTCAGGGCGTGACCACTGCGTGACACGTTGATGCGAACAGCGTTGTCTGTTCTCTTATCGACAACGGCAAATTGGCCGATCAAATTGCGACATTACAGCCAATTGTTGGTAAAAAAAAAAAAAAAAAAAAAAAGTCATCGAGTACTTGACTATTTTCTCAGTACTTGGGGAACGGTCATTATCAAGCGAATATGAATTTTTTTCTTTTGTCATTAATTATTGCTGGGGATGACGGTATTAGGGGATTTTGTTTGTGTGGCGATATACTTCACCTGATCCTCCCTCGAACGCTAATTGGCAATCAATAGTCCCCCTTTATACTATGTTGACGATGACTGACCCCCCTGCGCTGCTCTTAGAAACCATGTGATCACCCCACAAAAATCCTTCAACCCCCACCCCAGGGGATAAATAATGACCAATCCCCCAGAGAGGGAGTTTTACATGAAAATAGCGCACGTGGTAACTTGAGCTGATAAGGATCTGAACATGTCTAGCATAACAAGAAGTATGTTTGTTATTGTATAAGATTGCAGCCGAACTTTTCCATATCATGAATCTTTGGGCAGTCGAGGGGCGTTCCTCAATTCAATTTGTGAGCGTTTCAGCACAGGATTATTGACTTTGGAGCCTGGCCAGCTTGGTCATGATCAGAGACACTGATGATAGCGACGGCCTTATCTGAATATTTTAGCGAAGAGTTTTCAGGATTAGATTTCTTAAGGCTGCTTTTCACCTCAGTTTAAATGAATTTGTTGTTGTACATGGTGGCGTTGTTTGCTCTGAAAATTTCACAAGCTTTTTCCGAGAAACTTCTGTTAATAAGTCGGTCTCGTAATTTGGAAAGGTTTTACACAGTTTTGCTTTGGCATGCAAACAGCAAGCAATGAGACTTCATGAGGTCAGGGGACACAAAACTAAACTAAACTTGAAATTCGCAACATGAGCAATAATTCATTGGCTGCAGAGTAATCGTGCATTCACTGTTTTCTTCACCAGGCAGTCTAGTCCAGCCTCCTACGCAGACGTTCACTGGGCTCGTCACGCAATCTTGCGTGACGAACCCAAAGAACGTCTGCGAAGGAGGCTGGTCTAGATCGGACCTTTGATCCTGTAGTCTGATAGTCCGGGTGAGGGTTGTCCTTTCAGAAGCTGATAAAAAACGTCTTTTGCCATTTGCGATCGCCCGCTTAACAAAACTGTTCTCTGGATAACACAATTTGCACCTGGTCATCATAAAACCAAAGCAACATGATTGAAATTTAGCCCGCATTTTATAAGAGTCAAAATTGTAACACGCGTCCCAGGCTTTAAAAGTCAACCCCTATATTTTACCTTATTGATTTTCTCCTTAGACGTTTACTTGGTTTTATCCTCAGTCCTTTTAATGCTATCCTTACCCAGTTGTCTTTATTTTCATTCCAGGTTATTTGGTGCCACTGGACAATGCGCACACTGCTCCAAAACAATATTACCGCTGGAAATGGTGATGCGGGCCCGCGAGCACACGTATCACCTTGATTGCTTTGCGTGTCACATCTGCCAATACAGATTCTGCGTCGGCGATAAGTTTTTCCTCCACTTTCACGTAGTGCTTTGCGAGGCTGATTACTATGACATCACAAGCGTATTCAACGACATGGCTTATATGTGAGTTCCGGTTGTAAAGTTATTTCTCTTCTGGTCCTGCAGAAACTCGCAATCTCAGGCTGGAGAGCTTTGGACTATTGTAGCCCCTCTGTTTTTTCATCTTTTTCAATCAGCTTTAACGTGATGATTCCAATGACCTCTCTGGGATCTGGTCTTAATCAAGTATTTGTAATTCAGCCCTTTGAATCTTTGGTGCAATAAATTTTGTCATCTTTTTATTACAGTATCGTGTGATCCATTACCTTTTGGAAGAGAGGCTTTTTTCAGAACCTGAACGAGAAAGAACGCTGGAAAATTGATTTATGAAAGCCTCTTGACTTTCGTTTGAACCATAACTCTGCAACAGCTAGTTTCTATATGGAAAATTAAGGAGACTGGTAGTTTGTGAGGCAAAAATAAATAAACCTCAAACCTGCATTTTTTACAGAAAAGTTATTGCGAAGTTATGATAAGTGTTTGAAAACAGCCACATCATCTTGCTCATTCCTCTTATGTGTGTTTGCTATAAAATGCCAACAAAGAAGGCTGTCAGGATTAAATGTTACAATACAGACTGCTGGTTCTGACGACCTTTGATCATCTGCTTATTGCTAATTTCTTGTGTTCACACTACCATGTTCTCTTTGTCTTAAATCATTGATTTGCATACTAACATAACCCTGAGGTTTTTTAGGTTACGAAGAAAGTCCCGGGTTCACACCGAAATCTGTCAGGTCACGATAAATATTAACTGGTCCCTCAGAAGCAAGTATTCATGTGGGCAATATTAATGGTTTATCATTTTTTAAAAACTAGACACATAGCTGCGTGAAATCGGGCTTTCAATATCGTACATCTGGAGTTATCTTTAGGGGACTGCCATATTGCCATCGTTACTGTCGTCACCCAATTTTGTCTTTGCCGGTTATGAATAAGTCTACTTCTGCTTATTTTTGTCTGCTGGAGTGTAATAAATGTTGTTATGGTAATAGACAACAATCAAAGTAATATATTATTATATAGGAGCAGGTTCCTACAGATGCCAAAGGTTGAAATTCAAGGACTTTTCAAAGATTTTGAAGGCCAAGTTGTAGAAAATTGAAGGACCACTTTTGGAAAGGTTTGCGTAGGCAATTTTAAAATTATTTGATATTATTTCTCAGCTTTTCCATGAAAGTACTGTAATTTTCAACTTTAAAATTGCCAAAGAAAAAGCATTGCAAAAATCAAGCCCTAGTCATCAAATTCAAGTACTTTCAAGGCCTTGAATTTCTATTCTTAAATTTGAGCATCTTCAAGGACTTTCAAGGCTTTTACGAACCCTGAGTAGGTAATGTATTTGTCTTTAACTGCAAGAACAAGGGAATTTTTTATCTATTATTGGTACCGAGTCATAGTTTGTTGCCAAATGTTCACCCAAGGGGAGTTGTCAGAAATCAGTAGATTGTAGCAATATTACTGTTCAGTAGTTCGTATTGTTTTTAATCCTTGGGTTTCACCCACGTGACCAATACCTTAGCAACGTTACTATCCGCCATCTTGGTGTCCCTCGAGCGTAAACAAACCGTATCTAACGGA